TATAATCGGCTCCAGATCACGTGGCCGCTTGTTTTGGCTGCGATCTGAGGGGGCGAACTCTGCTCGTTTTCTTTATTTTTTTTCTGCGACTTCGATTGCGTGTGCTGAAAAACGAACGGGTATTTCACAGGTCATTAACGTCAGGGATCCGTTCTAAGCGGTATTTGCGCAAAATCCGAAAATCGTTACGTCGCCCCTTTAAGAAGGCCCAACTGTCTCAGTGTGAACGGCTCTGCGCTGCTGCCAACTGCAGCGCCAATCAGGGGGGGGGGGGGGGGGGGGGCACGCCCCGCTGATAGCGAAAAAGGGGGAGGAGGGCAGTGCAGTGTTTCGAGTTTTCATTCAGGGCAGTAAGCTAATATAAAAGAGCAGGAAAGTTTCTGGTTGGTCCGAGTCGTCTTCTTTTGGAGTGGACTACGCGGATTGACACCCGAAGAAGGTGCACAAGACGCCCGAGTGCTGTCGAAGCTAGGAATCTCTCATTGAAGCTGGGACAACTGAAGCTGCTCCCTGCCGTTATCTCATTGTGAGTTACTATAGACGATTTACACACGCGCCAAATTACAGCCGCCATTGCTGACCTTCTCTTGTCTTATCGAGACGCCGAGCAACCGAAACGGCAGTTGACGATCCTCTACAAAGGCCGATGCTTTAAAAAAGGACACAGCTGAATCTAATATGGCAATAACCTGGCCTGCTATGGTAATGATGAAGCGAAATAAACGAAATAAGAGGAAGCAAAAACTGAAGGTCAGTTATGGCGGCGTTCATGCACAGCTGCTGCAAAGCGTCTATACCATTAGGTTCTTTGTGAACCTCTGCAAGAAGCGGTCTGGGTGACGCGGACACCCAATAGGCGGATCTGCGTGCATCACTGTTTAGAAGAGAAATGCCGGAGGATCAAAGCTACAGGGAGGAACTTCAGTTTTCCCTCTTCCAGCACAACCCTAATTCCCTACCCTCTATTCGCGGCGAGAAATTTGGCTGCCGCCACCTGGTGGAATTATTTCACAACCTAGGGTGGGGTACTTTAACTTCGTCTGCTGGTGCAAGTACGTGCAATGCCAAGCTTTTTTGCACTATAAAAATTAAAGCATAACCGTGTGGATAGCAAGTACACTTCTGATAGTGAGGAAAACAGAAGCGACCCTAGCGAGCTTCTTACAACGAATAACGCTACGACAGCCCGTGAACCGCCAGTGTGCACTTCAAACGAAAACACTTTACCGTTTTGACTGCGCGTGCACGATCACCAAGGAGTTTTAGGTTGCAATCGGAGTGTCCAGGCGTACAGTCGCGCACGATACGAAAACGCTTGGGTGATCACGTGACTTACATGGTACGCAGAGCTATCTAACAGAAGATAGTTCAACCGTTATCGAGGCTTCAGGGCTCGTTCAACTTGTGCTGTCACTCCCCTCGCTTGCCGAACTGTCACTGAGCTAATAGAGAGTTTTATAGTCGTTTGCAAGCTAAGAAAAACCGGAAATGCCTCTCAGAGGAAAATGTAATCCTACGCCGGGAAACGCCAGCCAATCGTTTTCATGACGTCACGATTCCGTGGACCAATCGCGATCCTTTTGAAAAAAAAAAAAAGCTCAACATGGCTGCTGGCCTTAGCAACGCAACGCTAGTTTCTCGTGACAATTATTCTGCTTTTTTGCACCGTGTTTTACGTGCCCGAGGTTTGCCACAGAATCCTAATGGTATCGGCTTGCGTTTCCAGCAGTTTTTGCGCGACAACGTGAGAATCCAGCGACGCTATCGCCAACGAAAATGTCGAAGCGGGCGCGAGGCTTAGCACTGCTGAGAGGTGAGAAGCTACGCCGGACGTCGTCTGCTTCGTTGGATTTCTCTCGCCTCTGCCCCACGTTGCTACTCAACATAGTACCGGCACCGCTTTGGAGTCGCCGGTAAGGCTGCACCAGGCTGTTTCGTCCAAGAAGAATCAGGGGAATCGCTTTCCGATGTCACCTCATTGGGATCCATGACGGAAGACAAAGAGAGCGGGGCGCCGTGGTGGTGTCGATGACTTGGGAGGGTGCCGATTTGTCAAAACCCGAAAAATATAATTATTCTTGTTTTCTATACCTCCAACGAAATAAAGGCACACATTTCGTGCGCAAAGCCCACAAAACTAAGTAAATCACAAAATATTTATTATTTGCAGGAACTATAAGTGCTTCGCTTTCCCTCAATCGAAGGCCCTGGAAGACGGTATGTTAGACAGTATCTTGGACAGAAGATGAATTGGAAGACGGTACATTGGACATGACTTTCTTTCTTTACTAAACAGCTATTTCGTTGACAAAAACGTATTCTAACTTATTTAAACGTCCTGAATGAATTAAATAAATAATGCCCAAACAAAAGTAAAGACTGAAATTATTGGCGTATAGAAAAAAGTAACTTTTTACCAGACAGAGCAGCTGTGCTAGAAACAACGAAATCGCGAAATTTACACAAACCTTGCAGGGTCTCACCTGTGAGCACAGCTCCAATTTCGCCAGGGTCAACCACCTATGTTTGTTCATCTCAGCGAGCAGGAGGCCGAACCTCTCGTTGATGTGAGCCACGATAAGGTTCACAAAACTGAAGAACACCGACAAGTTCCATCCAAACACTCATCCAAGTACGAACAGACGGTTGGGATAGGCCAGTCGACAAAGAACCACGCAAAGCGTCTCGCCAGATTGGCAACATCCTGCTCTGATCTGTGGGGTGCTGGGATTTTGAGGCCCGCTGGCAGAGAAGCCAGGTCTTTTTTTAAGCGAGATAGCCTCCAAAAGGTTTTCTCTTCTACGTTGGAAATATCCAGCAAACCGCGTTCGGAAAGGAAGCTTCGGCGCTTGATGGTACGAGGAATACAAATCATAGATTCAATGTCTCGCCAGCTTAATCTCGTTAGTAAAAGTCTCCTTCCTTGAGAACAGCGGGGATTCATCGTGCAGATGCCTTGAAAGCTTTGAGCAACACTGTACCCGTACTTCGCAAAATAATGTACTCGCAATGCGCAAGCTTCGTCCTTTTCTTTCATTTTTCTACTTTTAATAAGTAAATCTGTTTCATTTTTAATTCGAGTAGAGCAGAAGCTGCAAGAGCGAGTGCCGGCCTTTCAGTGTCCTTGACCAGCACGCGCGCTCGTGCAGTGCAAGTACCGCTTAGAGAAACATGCTCATGCTTATACCTTCGGCTTCACTCACACACAAGGTGGAACGATTATATTTATATTTTATAGCATAGTATTTTTTCGGGTGTGTGCCTATTCTTTTGTGTTTATTATTGTCGCCTTCGTTTTACTACCTCTACAAACACGCTCCCTTTCACTCTCTTGGTGTTAACGTTTAGGTGTTTTTTTTCTTAGTATACTCCGTTTCACCTGATGTTGTACCGCAGACAAGGCTAGAAGCGCGAGCTCATAGCGTTGGGAGCTTCTCTTAACGCACCAGAGCTTGTGCCGCCTTGATTTGCCCTAGAGCAAGGAGCTCGCGCTTGTAGCCTTTTCTGCGGTACATCATAAGGTGAATAAAGAGTATAGTACTATAAACATCCACTTCTGGGGTACGCAAGCAAATTTTTCGAACCCTCTCAAAACGATCTTACGCTGAAGAAAAACGCTCTACTAAAACGCGTTTTTTGACCTCCGCTTTCCATTACGGCGAAGCAGGCCACGCATGCGCAGTTTGGCACCCTCAGAGCGGAGCGGAAAATGAAAACGGTCTACTAAAACTCTCTAATACTGATTCAGCTCCGAATGTAGAAGAGATCTGCTACAAAAGTCAAAATTAGGCGTAATTGACACGACCGAGTCGGCAGGTTGAGCGGCAAATAATCAGATGTTTGATAAGGAGTTGGAGACGTAGATCAGAATAAGCGTTTTTTTATTTTTTTTATTTCACCGGGCACTATTTCCATGGGCGTTTACTCTGCAATCTCTTGCCTACCAGGTGGGGATTAACGGCAAAACTGGAACAGCCACTGGAATGCAACTCGTTTGCACAATAGCCTGGATGATAACTAAGGTATTCCGCTACATAACACTGGAGGTATTCGGAGCCATGCGCTCGCAGGCTTTTTTTTTTTTTTTTTTTTTTATCATCCGCTATTGCATACTTTTAACAAAAAGAGGATCAAAGACCTTCGAAAATAATAAACATTAATGTCTCGTTCATATATGAACACATCTGTCCTCCGACCCCCCCTCCCCCCCCCCCCCCCCAAAAAAAAAAAAAAGAAATTGTAGAGTTCACACGTTTTACGGGAAGTCGGAGGACCAGCAAAGCTCTTATCTTTAGGATAAGTTTACAGCTTTACGACAACTTTACTACAACTATACGACATCTATACGATTTACATGTGATTGCAATGAAGACATGTACACGACTTCGTTGTTTGTCTTTATTTAATTCTCACTGAAAGTGACTATTGCCTATGGTAACTGATGGGAAAGTTCTAAACCCAATTTTTCGAGGAACGCCTCAAGGATAGTTTTTTCCGAGTGAGCCAAAATCTCTTAATCAGCATCGCGGAAGCGCAAGAAAATGTTAAATCGGTGCGTTCTACCCTCAATCTTGTCACAGCGCACTTTTAGTTCAGATAGGTCGGTGCCCATGGATGATAAAAAGGAATCAGGACCTCACTATCTAATAATGCAAAGGAAGGCTGACTCAGGTGAGTTGCCCTGTTTCGATTTACACATGTCATGACCAATCAAAACGAAGTAACGCCGTTTAAATGGGAGTTTTTCGTTAACATCCTGGACGCATTTTTTTTCACAGATCCTAGCACATAACAGCTTTGCTGTAAAAATCGTCCATAATGTGAGTTGTCGAGAATAGCGAAAGAAAACTGCATGAATTATCCCGGTTTGTACCCGAAAATGGTGTCCATACAGCCGGATGCCCAAATTACGCGGGTTCATATCAACTAGACATATGACTATTTTTACACTTCTGGTGCATTTTGCACATTTGTTGAGGCCTCACATTCTTCAATCGCAGGTTCTACTGGGAATGATGGAGCTGGGATTAAATCCGCAGGAAGCGGTCGACAGACCAAGAGTCACGATTGGGTCTGGAACCTCCGTGCATCCAGAGTGAGAACAATTTTCTTATTTTTTGGTGTGCCATATGCCAGTTATTTTGGGATTTCCTATTTGTTACTGCATAATATTCATTTCACTCTTCCTTCCTAAATTAATTTACAAAATTCAAGATACAATATAAAGAAGACATAAATAAATATAGCTTTTATAAAAAATTTCCATTTTTCAGCCATCATGGTTTAACGTATACAAACGTTCTCAGACATATACATTACTGTAGACTAAGAATGAGCCCAAGTTTAAACATAAATCTGTTTAAAGGCTTTTTTCCGTGGTGGTTTGCAATTCTGTGCATCAGAGTCTTTCGACAGGACTACTAAGCTCGGCGAGGGGTGGCAAACTTTTAACGCTATGCATGGCAAACGCAAGACGTGTAGACCTGGCCCTCCTCTGGCCCTGCTTTTGACAGACCCCATGGAAGATATCCGGGGCTAGCTTGCTTCCGTATCCTTCACGAAACCTTACAATCTTCCATCACACAATGTATATAGGTTCGTGTATGCAGACATTGTGGACTTGGAAAACCATGGGAACCAGCCATAAACCGAGTGGGAACTTGATGCAGCGATCGCCCAGTGCAAACTTAAGAGTGCCCCCGGCTCCGCTGGAGTTACAGCCCCGATGCTTCCAAATGCACCTTGTGCCAATGGGGGGGGGGGGGGGGGGTATACTTCCCTTGTTCAGCTCCATCTGGCACACGAATAAACTCTCTGAAGATTGAAAAATGTCATGTGTTACTCCCCTCCCCAAACCCGGAAAACCACAGGCCGACCTGAAAAACCTGCGTCTCATATCCCTTACATTTATCATGAGAACGATGATGAACCGAATGGTGCTTGCACTTATTCAGTGACAAGTAGAAGACCTCACGATCTCTCATCCCACACCAACGGGGTTTAGCGAGAATTTGAGTAACCACGACAATGTGGCCATGATTTACCATGATCTCGCTGACTGGCACCCTAACAGCCAGCAGCACCGGGCCGTGGTCACTGTGGATATTAGTTAGGCATTTGATACGGTCCCATACGTTTCCGTTGTCTCCTAAATGTACGAGCAAGGCCTAGAGGGTAATCAACTAGATTTTGTCCATTGATATCTGGCCGGCCGACGCTACCTCCTCAAGTCAGACTACGGCCCTGACGCGCGTAGCAGTACTACCGAGGAGAACGAAATTGGAGTTCCTCAAGGACCAGTATCGATGGCGCCATTATTCAACATTCTTGTGGCGCCGCTCCTCTGGGCCCTCCGTCGTATTCCAAACCTAAGAGCTACTGTCCTCGCCGACAACATTACCATCTGGACATGCCAAAGCTCGGTTTGGACGCAGAAGACAGCGCTGCGGGCGGGTCTGGATGCCATCCACGCCCACCTTCAACGCTCTTGCATGCTTCCCTGCCCAGAAAAAGCGAAGCACATGTTGTTCGGCCGTGGACATTTTACCCTTGACTAGGGTCCCACTTTCGACGGTAGTCCCATAAGCAAGGTTTTTTTTTTCAAATATGTTGATGGAGAAAATTTCGGGTAGAGCCCTCAAGTGGCAACCTAATGGGTTAAGTGTATTTTTCGGCAATGAAGAAACGGCCTACATCTCTTCCGTTGCATCTCCCATCGCCTTGGTTGCGCGGGAGAACGTATCGCTAACATCTTGGTCACGTCCGTCCTTGCTGCGAAGGTGGCCAATGCTTCGCGCGTCCACTCCCTCAAACGAGTCCACTTCAAAAAGATAGCGACGGTGTATCACAAGGTTTCGAACCATCCTCGGTCTTCCTCGACACACACTGACGCCAGAGCTTCGCAGGTGCCTGCGCTTCGTCGACCTTCGAGAAACACTAGAGCTGCAACTCGACATGCACATGACCCGGCTTGAGCATACGCTCCAGGGGAGGGCAGTTCCTCGCTTTATTGGTGTAGCTGTAACCAACATCAACGACCTGCCGCCTACCAAGCCTCTATGGGATCTCATCGATCTCAAGCAACATGCCCTGCCTGTCCTGCGGAATATGGATGCCAAGCGCCACGCCAAGCGTCTAGAGCGTTATGACCGTCAACACCAAGCAAAAGTCACCGCATTATCACAGGACCCTGTGCAGGTCATCGGGTATGCGGATGCTGCCCTGTACATATCCGGTCAATCTGCGACAGCTGCGGTGGTCCCGTCCCATGACCTTGCGGATTGTGATACTATCGTTGTTGCAACCATGATTTGTTTATCGCCTTCAGGGCTTTGGCTTGCTCAGGAGCAAGCCAAAGCCCGCGCCACTATCCTCGCCCTCTAGACGTATGAGGTCAGGAATCACGAGCCAGTCACGCTTACGGTGTTCACTGACTCTCAGGCCACGATTCGCGCTCTTAAGGCGCATCAACTCACATAGAGTCCGAGAATTGCCGCTATTGTTGACATTGCACTTCGCCTGTACCGCCGTCAAAGCGCCTGAACCAATACACGCAGGGTACCACGGCATGCGGGCATTGACGGCCGCAAGATGGCCCACGAGACTGCAGTGGAGAAGCTGCATAGAAATTTCCCCTCCTCCCAGTGGACAATTCGTTTGCTTTAATTAAAACTTTGAATTGGGCTAATTGGTTCATTGCGATCGAAAGGACGTAAAAAGGACAAAAAACACGGATGAAGAAGAGAGACATAAACACGGTCTGGCGCAAATTATCACATGGGATTGAAAAGAAGGAAAAGAGTGCTCAAGCTTGTGTGCTGGGTGGTTTGCATTGATTAAATCAGTTGAAAGTTAGCGCCAGTCCGTGTAGTATAAGTCTCTTCTTCGTCTGCTTTTTTTTCTGTTTTTTTTGCGCGTTTAGGTCTTCTAGCTTGCCAGTGCCTTCCTCGAGGACCAATCATTACCAGTTTGCCCAAGACGAAGCCCGTGTGTACGACCCAGTCGATGCTGTTTTCCTCGTCTGCCGGGACTGGAAACGCCGACTTGACGACTCTTGGACCTCAGAACCGCTTCCGATACCTGAAAACACGTTTCGTCTGCACAAGATGATCATGCTTCGACGCATTCGGAGAGGCAGAGCTGCTCCGCCTCATTACGTCTATCACTTCAAGCTGAACATGCAACGTAAACTTGAACCTTATTACGTCCCACCCGGCCTTCGCTACCAGCGATGCAAGCACGCAGATGTCCTCCCGAAAATTCATCATCTCATTTGAGAGTGCGCCGCTCTGGTTGTCGAGCGCTAAGCAGCCTGAGGTACTCTTTCTTCAGATCTGGGTGTATCCTTCCGGCGACTCCGAGTGCCGGCCGAGGGTCCTGACTTCTCTTCTCGACTTTGTGTTGCGGAGTGGACTTGAGTTCTCGTCGTAATAAGGAGAGATCGGCTGTCTCGAGGGAGGAGGCCTAGCCGCACGATTTAGCGGTTGGGCCTAGGAACGACATCGGCCATGGAGGTTGTTGTAGCCGGGGAAGACCTCCCCCCAGAGCAATACGACGAGTCCTGGACGGTCATCCGAAGGCGCCAGCGGGTCCTAGACGCGGCCAGCCAGCCCGCCTCGACTCCACCACCATCGCCAGCGACCTCGACAACCGCAGGTTCAGCGACAAAGAGCAGCACCGGACTGGCCCCAGCGCGAGGACGACCCAGGCATCGGGCTCCACCGGCTGAACGCATCCCGGAGGACCACGTCAAAGTAGTGCTTCGCCCCAAAGGTGGGTTACATCTCAGCACCGTCTCACCCACTACATTAGCCGACTGCATCACTCAGGCGGCACAGCTTACATCTGACTCAAGGAACAGAATCCTCGTATTTGCAAAGGCCAACTACCTACTTGTCAGCACCCCGGATGAAGAGCGCGCAAGGAAACTGTGCTCAGTCACCGCAATATTGGTCAAAGGCAAGCAATACGAATTCGCCGCGCACGTTTCGGCCCCGGCTAACACCACTGCGGGAATTATATTCAACATCCTTGAGGAGGACTCCCAAGCCGAAATCACCCAAGTGCTGATCAGGTCCAAACCTGACCTGCCTATACTCGCAGCAAAGCGTCTCGGGGAAACCAACGCAGTTCAAATCCTATTCAACGGACCAAAAGTACCATTCTGGGTTCGCTACCGGCCAGCCACTTACCGGTGTACCCCGTATCGACAGAAGACCGAAGCATGTACCAAGTGCTGGCAAAAGGGACATCGACGGGATGTCTGCCCTCATCAGATCATCAGGTGTGCCAACTGCGGCCTAGAAAACCCCAAAAATGACCATCGATGCACGCCTCGCTGCGTGGTATGCGGCGGGCCACACCTCATGGGAACGCCGGAATGCCCGAAGAGATTCCAACCCCGCCGCAGGCAACCGTCGCAAGCAGCCCCACAGTCGACCTCTGCCTGGGCGAGGGGTCCTCCAGGCAGTGAAAAACCGCCTCCCAACACCGACGACACCAAGCACTGGCCCGCCCTCCCAGACAGAGGCAGATCGGCGAGTAAGTCACCGGCAGGAGAAGGGCGAACAACGAGGTCCCCCTCTATCAACCGGGGCAGAACACCGTCCACCGACAGAACGAAATCATCAGACGGACCGGCAAGAAACACCAGGAGACCGAGCTCCAGGCACCGTCCCAAGGCGCGGGACACCTCTAAAATGGTAAGCTTCGGGGTAGAGGTCAACCACTCTCAATCCTCCCATACCCAGCCGCCCCACGCACCACCCCCCTCCCAAATCCCACAAGAGGTAGCGGCAGAGCTCGCTATGTTCAGAGCTGAGATGGCGGCGCTTCAGAGAGAGAATCAAAACCTCCTTAGAGAACTTAAGGCCTCTAGACACGAGATACAGGCTAGGAGACAAGAAAATCAGAACCTTAAGGCTAGCATGCACACGAAAGCCCCCGTCGCGCCCCCAGCCTCAAGAAAGAGGGCCGCGACAACACAACCAGAGGATGAAGACACTATTCCTGACACCTCTCGATCCAACGGGGAGCCCGACTGCAAATACTCCAAGATGGAGCAGGACATCTTCTTGATTAGGGAAGGATGCGTTA